CGACGGCATTCTACGCGAAGCAGCCAGATTCAGGGTGGATTGTGCCGACCGTTGCAGCCGTAGTCGCAAGGGCAGTTCGACCGGCCGAGGCAGGATTGTTTTTTTTCGCCCCCTTTATGATGATCGCTAGTTGGAATGCAGCCAACGCACCCGAGGCAGAAGAGTCGAATGGAGGATAAGTAAGACGAATGAAAGTGGACCGTTAAGAGGTCTAGAAAGGTGGAGGAGATGGAGCCGATGCAAATGGTGGCGGTGAGATATGGAGGATAACTGGAGTGGACTGGGAGCAGAGGCAATGGCAAATGAGAGGAGGGAAAATAAAGTGGAAACGAGCAAAGAAGATTTCGTGTACATACATGTCCGAGGGGAATGGGACAAGGCGTCGAGTGGGAGACAGCGGAAAATGGCCACGATATTGTCAGACAAGAGGATTCATGCGCGAATATACCCTTAATTTCATACGTGTATAAACATGTTTTGGGTGTGCAAATGTAAGGCGTTTCGGAGTGAATTGGTGGGCCTTTGGGTGTGGGGTGACAATAAAGTCCGGAGGCGTGTGCCAGAAGGTTCGAGCTCGCAAAATGGACACAGTGATCGAGCGGGGCAGAAATAGCGTCCACTTTCATATGAATAGCATAAGTCCAAATGTGAAAGCATGTCTGAGAGTTAATCCGTTTACGTTTGGCTGCATGATTTGTACGCACATGTAAGCCAATTCAATGGAAATAAATGTGATTAAGCGTCAAAAATCAACCAATTCTTCAATCAGTAATGCGTTTGCGCGCACACACGCACAGCTATATGTGTTTGGTTGAGCACAAACAGCCACATACCATAGCGCTCAAACAACGATGGCAAAGTTCAATGAAGCGGAACATATTACTGTCGACGCGAGTGATTGAAGAGAACTGGAATCAACGGTGAAGTAGCTTTTCGTGAGTAACAGGATGTATATACGAAGAGTAACTGGGAGTGGATAAATCTCCCGAGATAATAATTTTTGTAAGTGCATGAAGAAGAGATTCTTGACCTAGTATTAACGCAAGACTTCTACAAGAATGAGCTCCAGCTCTGATGATGTCCATCATGTGATGGATGAGAATTCAGCCTGTTTTCACCCGAAGCGAGAGAGGATGTTTCGTGGACTGCGTCAACCTGAACGTTGTATTAAGGCCAAACTGTTACAGTACAACGGAATTGAATCGTCGTCTTCCAATAAGATCATGTACTTTCATACAAAATGAAGGTCCTCCCAGGAACAGGATGTGCTCAGAGCATATACAAAATGTGTATACACCATATTTCGTTAAGGTAAGGTGCAACTGATTGTTGTCATTTCTCACACGATATGAATAGGCCTCATGCTTCAATTAAATTTTCACATAGCCCTGCATTGCAAAAGATATTTTCATCCAAGCAAGAAAGGATTACAATTTCCACCTGGCCTAGGTTTCACCAGCCTCCCCAATGAGACCAGAACTGAGGTAGTACAGCGCATAGTCTTGGCACTACCACGAATGCCGCTGTCTCAAATGGGCAGAAGTGAATTTCAATGTCATACTCCTGTGGTGGGGTTGCCAATGGTGCAGATGTATGATTGCTATTACAGTCGATTTAGGTGATGAAGGACTAGTGGTTGAATTTTCCCACAATCAAAGTCTGCTCAAAACAATAAAATACAATAGTTATATTCGCATTAAGAGTAGTGTCAAAAACCTACTCACAAACGGAAAATAAGTGTAATGAGATGTATTCACCCTATTTCGTGTAAGGTGATGAAGGACTGGTAGTAGAATTTTCC